CAAAGCATCTTTTAACAAACTTTCAAAAGCTTTTCCCACTACCGATGTAAGATTAATGGGTCTATAATTACTAGGACAATTTTTATCACCTCCCTTGAGAAGAGGAGTTACATTATCTGACTTCAAATCATCTGATACCTGTCCACTATTCAAGGACCGACAAAAATAGTAGTAAGTGGCTCACCATTAAGTGTGAAAAAAGATGATCCATTAATACTATCAATTCCCTCAGCAATCTTAAATGCCTCAATCAGATCTCTTCTAACTCTTCATATTTTAAGATAAAACAATTCAGAGATCTTAACCTCTCCTCATATGACAACCTCTCCATCCCAGGCACCAATCTAGTAACCCTCCTCTAAACCATTTCCAACAATTCAATGTCTTTCCTAAAGTAAGGAGTCCAGTAATGTACACAATACTCCAAATGTGGCCTAACCAGTGATCTATACAATAAAATTATAATCTCTTTAGACTTGTATTCAATTTATGTAGATACAACCTAAATTCCTATTTGCCCTACCACCAGCAACAGCACAATGCTTGGATAGCTTAAGAGACTGATCAATCATGACACCAAGATCCCTTTCCTTCCAAACACAGATATACTCATAATTCAAATTGTGATAACCCACATACATTATCTTGCATTTATTATAATTAAAAACACATCTGCCATTTATTTACCCAACTCACTAAATTACCTAATTCCTTTTGTAAAGCAGCAGTATCCTCTTCACAGCTAGCAACACCCAAGACTTTAATATCATCAGCAAATTGAAGTAATTTATAGGCCATTTCTTCATCTATGTCATTGATGTAAATCAAAGAGAGCAATGATTCTAAGATTGAGCCCTGAGGTACCCCACTTGTGACATTGATTCAGTTTCACTGGACTCCATTTGTAACAACCCTCTGCTTTCTTCCATCTAGCTACTCCTCTATCCAATTAGCTAACTTATCCCCCCCCACATCTTTAGATAATTTTTTACAAGCCTTTTATGTGACATCTTGTCAGATGCTTTCTGAAAATCCAGATACACCAAATCTACACCCTTAACTTCATTTACATAAGCAATAATCTTTTCAAAGAATGTCAAAAGATTTGTAAGGCGAGATTTTACCTTAGTGAAACCATGTTCATTATTCAATAAAATTCTAAACTTTGTTGAATGAAGCATCTTTTAACAGATTTTCCAAAACTTTTTCCACAACTAATGTAAGACTAATAGGTTTGTAATTACTGGGATAATTTTTATCACCACATTTGAAAAGAGGAGTGACATTAGTCAGCTTCCAATCCTCTGGCATCTGCCCACTATTCAAGGACTTACAAAAAATTGTAGCAAGTGGCTCACATATCCAATTCTTAACCTCCATCAAAACCCTTGGGATAATATTATCTGGCCCAGGAGCCTTATCATTCTTTAAACTTCCCAATTCTTTCTTAACAGTCTCAGAATTAATGTGATCATACTGTTCAATCTTCTTTCCATCTATCAACTGTTCAAGATGAGGAATATTGCTTAAATTGTCATTAGTAAAAACTGAAGAAAAAAGCAGAATTTAATAACCTAGCCACCTCATAATCATCAGATACAAGCCTTTCTTTATCATCCCTCAAAGGTCCTATCCCAATCCTAATATTTTGTTTAATCTTAATTTATTTAAAGAAATCCTTACTGTCAATTTTCAGCTGACCTTTTTCCATACATCCTTTTTGGTATACTAATTTCCTGTTTGATAAACTTTCTTGATCTTCTATAATCTTCTAAGTCTCCCATCATACCATTCAACTTAAATTTCTTAAATTAGTGATGTTTTTTTAAATATAAACCCTTATACCCTTTGTAAGTCAACCTGATTTTTTAAAACTATTTATGCACAAAAGTATTTGTGGATGTATGACTTTGATGGCTGCAGGATCTTTAATAACATGTATATCACAAATATCCATTTATAGTGCAGTTAATCTCTCTAATTATTGCTAGAGTCCTTTGTGTACTTTATGTAGATAATGAGTGATTTCATACAATTTTGTTATCATTTCTTTACACTGAATGTTGTAAAAACATCAAATTTTCAATGTGACTCAATATGTAGACCACATCAGTGAACAGTATAAAAACAAATTGGTCATTTCAGGATTAAAGTATTAGTTGATGATAACCATACTTTGATTTTATAAACATGCAACATCACTACTAGGCTATTCTTGTGTTCATGATGACCATACTCTTACTGTAAAGAAGTAAATCCAATCTTTTGCATTTCAGGTTCCTGATTTGCATAAAAGTTAATGGAGAATGGTAATTGATCTTATTTGATCACAGTGGGCTTGTCTTGTTGTAACTAAAATAGTATAAATTCCAGTAACCTTTTAATTGTTTTGTGCAATGATACAAAAAAAAACGATAAAGAATATAAAATAAAGATGACCAATTAATGTTTCAGGGGAAAATACCAAGACATATATGGAGAAAAAATTACAGGAAGTGTTATGTCACCTATTCAAATCCTAAAAGAAAGGCTCAAAAAGTGATAATTTTTTATCAGCTTTAGTAAAAAGTTTTATAAAGTCTTAAATTATTGCAAATTACAGTGTATCTAAATTTTTGTGTTCACCACACCTCAGCTGACAGCCCTTCACACAACTGTATTATCATAAGGTGCATATACATGTTTCAGGACCACCTAGTTGATATTCACGCACAGTGGAAGATGTTTTCAGCCATGAAAAGAATAATCATAAAAATATCAACCTTCAAATTCCAGAATAATTAGACATCAACTAATTTTTGAATCATCAATATTTTTCTTTTTTCTTAAATACATGTGAAAATTTATGTATTTAAGCAATATTCTCTATGGATTTCATTGTTGTTAAAACTTCTAACTCTAATAAAACATTCTAATTAGACATCTATTTGATGGTGTTGAAATAAACATTTAAATTATTATATGCCATTAAAATTCTATATGTTGTTATGTACTTTTGGATCTGTATGGAAATGGAAGGTTGCAGCACTAGGTATTTATTAAAACACTTTTCTGAATCCTGGATTTTAGAAACCTGTGAAAACAAAATGAGTTAATTAAACTTTTCATTCTCAAACACATTTTCTTTAAATCTAATGAAAATTATCGACTTACCACTACTTAATGTTTTTCAACTTATATAAAACACAAATGCCATTTGTGAAAAAGAAAAAAACTCCAAAAAGATAAGAAGATTTGTGTTTTTAAGTGGAGGGCTATCTGGTCATCAGTAGTGACTAATTTTGGTTCTACTAATATCAAAGATGCACTCACTGTGCTTGTTCTCGTATTTGATGTTTCAAACCGATAGATTGATTTAAATAGAAAAAAAATTATATTTCCATTTTAATTGTGAATGATTATGTAACAATAAATGTTTGCCCTGACATTTTTCTTGTTACAAAGAAACTTTATTCACTGTAAATACTTTTCCTTTTAATGCTAATTTCTGAAACATTCGGATGGAAGTTTGTTTTTAAACTCACTTGAATACTGTAACTAAACATATCAATTTTGTCACTTTGTAACTTATATTTATCAAGTTCTCTGCATACATTTTACTTTGCTGTTCATCATTCTGTATTGTTAATATACCATTTTCTATAACACAGAATAAAATTACTGTACATGTTTGAACAAATAACGGAACTATTCATTGATAGTTTAAACATTTATCTTTTACTATTTTAATCAACAAAAAACCTATTCACCTGTGGTATAGAAATATATCATAAGTTTTTCTTTCTGTAATATTAATACTCATTATTTCTTCTGTTATGTGAAACCTGATACATGGACAAGAAAACTGTTAAGTTGATCTTGTTTCAAGTTGCTTTTGTTCCTTTGTCATTTCAAAGTTATATCCTGTAACCACCCGTTGAGAATATACAACCTTGTATAAGGATGTTGAGGCCAATGTTCTTCACTGGTTGTGTAGTTAATATCAAGAAATTACAGCCACACCAATGTGGAGTGAGAATGACTAGTCATATGGTAGCATAGTCATTATAGAAAAATGCAAGGTTTAATTTTAAATAGAAACCTTTCAATTAGTCTGATTCCTAGTTTCATCCAAACTTAATCTTATCTTATCTCTATGATGAAGAAACAGGTCATTATAAACAAGTGCACACAATGTTTTTTAAGTTGCAATAATGGTTATGTTCATTGTATATTCAGCTCAGCCAGTAAAAGTTCAGCACTGTTCTGTAGTACCATATTTTGTTCGATTCTCCCATCAAGTAGACCTATCAGGTAAATCCCAAAGCTACATTCAGCTCACCTGAATATACCAAATACTTAATGTAGTGTTTTTGCATTAATGTCTTAGTGTATGTAAGCAAGTAAACCGGTTTATCTAGCAGTATGTTTCTTTAAATTTTGAAGTGCTTATGCATTATTATTTGTACAAATGAGGAAATTTATTCATCCAGACATTTATTAGATTATTTTGCTATAGTTGTTAGCTGTTTTTGTAAATTATTCAGGATATTTTGCATTCGTAAATACAATTTAATTATTCACGAAATATATATATTGACTTATTTAAGTGTATTTTAGTAATTGATGAGTTGTAGGAGGTGCAAAAGATATTTCATTTGCCAGTTCACGATTTTTTACATGTGCATAATGTTTCAATAAAAACATACTCATTTGCAAGGCTGTATGCACCCATTACTTGGGAGTTGTTTAACAGTTTAATTAAGTTATGGGTGTGTTCTATAAGTTTGCTGTTTTCAAATTTTTGTTAATGATATCTATAGACTATAAACGTTTTACTTAAGCGTATGTGTTTGATAGTTTAAAAAACTGGTTGATGTAGACAAGCACTTTTTTGTGGCTACATTAGTACATATTGTTAGTTAATTTTTCTTTTTAATTTCATGTTAAAATCTTTACATGGCTCTAAAATTTAATTTCTTAGATCTTATTTCTTCTTATCATTACCCTCACTAGGTGGAAGGACACCAGAAGGTTGGCCAATAATAACTTTCCCTGACATAGGTTTGTTCTGCAATCTTTATGATGAAGATTATAGAAAGTTGATGCTGTATTTAACTGCTGTTCCATCGTAAGTACTTTAAACTTCTTTTCAAAACTTTAAACTATAAAAAGTAACTTGATACTGCTAATAAATATAAGAAAACATGTTTCATAAAATTTGATATTTTCTTAGCACTCAAGAATTAATTTAATTTTTGAATTGTAGTCACAAACCCACAAACTAGATGTTGATATAATGAAAAAATTAATATTAAAAATTGAACTGGGACAAGTACGTTTAAAAAGGTTAAATGAAGATTTCAAAGGTCATAAAAACATTTTGAAGGCAAATAATTCCATATAATTCAACTGTAGCATATGAAAATAGTAAAGAAACAAGACTTATGAAGAAGATTCAAAATATTGAGTTTTAATTTTACTTTGATAGATCTTATCTTTAACATAACTTTGGTACAAGCTGCAATACTAAATAATTTTCCTTATATACACATGTATTATTCAGAATGCAATTTTATTCACTTTAATGGTTCCGTAGTATTTTTCTTATTAGCCTGAATACAAGAGTAGGTTGTTATTGCCATGTTTTGTTTTTGAAATATTGCAGAAGGTTTTCGTAGATCCCCTGTTATAGTAAAAATTTAATGATTGGCAGGATGCAAGATGCAGACCTTGGTTTTGCACTGATTGTAGACAGAAGGAATGATAAATGGAGTGCTGTGAAGACAATATTACTCAGGATTTCTGTGAGCTTATATTTCTGATATTTTGTTTGAAAGAACATTCTACTAATTTCAAAATATAGATATGTATTTTTAGAATTATTTGTTGTGTCAAAGTATCTAAACAATTAACACCTCTAATAACTGTGTTTTTAAATTGCTAACTTACATCAGATGAGTTATAATTGTTTTTCAATATTACAAAGCCAAATATGCTAAAAGTGGGGTGTTTAACTCAGCTTGTGAACACGTGTGCTTGAGTTAACTTGAAAAATGTTTAATGTTCAAAAAGTATATACTTGTAAAAAACAAAAGTTTGGAGAAATTTATTAATTTTTCTCATTACCTAAGAAATATTGCCAATTATATTATTATTACTAACTTTCGAAGCCTATTATTCAAATTTTGTGAAAATTGGACATATATGTATATGAGACAACTAAAAATGGAGATAGATGGAAACAGTGTTTTAAATACGGATTTGCAGTAAAATATCTCTTGCAATTCTTTATGTATGTTATATTAATTGAATAAATACACTTGAATCTGATTTGATGAGATATTATACAGTTTTAAATGAGTTTATGTGAACCTGATATCAAATGGTATTGTATTTGTTGAAACTTTTTTAAATTTCATTTTGAATAGAGGTCAGCTGGATCATTGATAATTTTAGTAATAGGGCAGACTTTTATCTCTAACATAGAATAATTCTCACTGGAGTTTAGTGCTGTGTATAAGTATAACTGTTGTTTTTATTTGATTCAAGATTTTTAATTTTTCAAACCACGTTTTCTTAATTTAAAAAATTTACAAAATAATATTAGAGAATATCAAATTGCTCAATTATGAATAGTATTTTATCCTTTGAGTTAATTTGTATTATGATAGAAAAACTTTCCATTTTAAAGAGTGTTTTATGTATCCTTGACATATTAAATCCTGATTATATTGTTTTATATATTTTTTAGGCTTTGTAAATAGTGTTTTGTTATTTAATAAGAAGTGACATATGTGTTGTATTTTTTTCAAATACAGAATTATTATTATTTTTATAGGGCTTTTTTCCTGGACTTATTCAGATTGTTTTTGTACTTCGGCCTGTGGGGTTTTTTCAAAAAGCAATTTCAGAAGTCAGTCACAAATTTTTCAAGGAAGAATTCAAATTTAAGGTAGAAAGATATCTTTTTTATCCTGACACATTTTAAAGTTAAATAAGGTTGGTTTTGGGAAAACAACATACCTGTTTGAAATTGATTTAATAGTCATAACTTACCATACTTGAGACAAAACTAGGGACTATTGGCTTAGGTTTTAATAACATGAAATTCATTGGTAGAAATGATAGTGTACCTAGAACATGTATCATGAGTGCTAGTTTGAATATATGATTATAATTATATTATTAAATTAATTATATTATAATTATAATGTGACTAATTTACTTGAAACATGATAATTCAACTGGATGTTTTACACTGTATCCCTGCTCTATCTATAACTATGTGTAGAATTTAATCAAAACATTTTCTTGTTACATTTATAGTGCTTCAAATGCAACAAAGTTGACAAATATACCTGATTCGATGACGAGGAACCCACTTTGAGACTAATAATGGCTGGAGACGGCTTAAATGG